TAATAAAAATAATATTATTATAATTATTATTATTATTATTGATATTACTTTATTATTTTTCTATCGACACAATATATATCGTAAGTTTATTTACACACTGAACACAAGAGTAAGATTTATTCATAAGTTATGTCTTTTTTTACACGAGGGATTTTATATAGACTTATTTCCACACAGGAGTTAACAATGTGCCATTTTGATGACGTAGTTTAGTACTAATTACATCGTTGTCTCCATGGCAACTCCAAATTACAGGCTTGAGTCACGGGTAACAAACTTAAAGTTTTCGTTTTGAATATTCGTCCACACTTGAAATGGTTTCGATCAATTTTATAGTCTGCTTCGTTGAGATAGCTGTCACTTTTTTAATGGCACAAATTCAGCAATGTAAAGAAACACCTTAATGAAATTTTTTTCAAGGTTTAACGAGTTTCTATTGGTTGCCTCACTGGTTGTTTACTTCATAAAGATCGGAAAACTTTGTATGAATCTACTTATTACTGGAATGTTTTGTGGATAATAAACCGTATTCTCTAGAAAAAAAGCTTAATTCAGTATGTACTTTGGCTTAGATAGAAACAGTTGGGGCCAAAGACCGTTTGCCCGATGGCGTCATTTTATTATCGCCATATGCTTCGCGAATTTTCATTTTTCATTCAAATTTATTTGTATTCCCTCGTGAGACGGAATAGTAAGACAATTGGTGATATTGAACTGAACAAAAGAAAGTGTGCAAGGGATTCTGGTAAAGGTAGTAAATGACGATATAATCCAAGTGACCTATAACACATTTCACTCAACTCAACTATCTCCACGAAGATGCAAATTTGAAATGCTAAAATATTGATCATACGAACTATACAAGGTGTCAGAAGTGGGTTCATTTAAGCTTCGATCAATAAACTAGATCGATATTAGGTACTTTTATGGTTATTTGTCATTTTATCGATTGCAGTATGAATAAATAAAACTGGCAGAGCTGAATCACAAAATATTTTGATACAAGGTTATGAATTAATATTCCTTAGAAACTGATAGAAAACATGCGTTTTATTTCTATCTTTTATTGCAGTAATTATATTTCGAGTATAAGATTACAAATTTATGAAATTACTTATCGGCAGCACTTTCGATTGAGAGACTTTTCTTTCTCCTACTTTCGTTATGAGACATCTGTATCTCTGGAATATTGTTATTGATAGTAAGAATTGACCGTTTCTTATAACATACTACCTGCATCACTTCATTTCGAACGTCTTGCCTACAGAGCGCGTACACGATACAGTTAGAAGCCGAATTCAGGTGGTAGAGAAACCGTGCAAGGCCAACAATCTCTTTTTGCACTTTCTCGAAGTTCACATAATTGATGTATCCTTTATAGGCAGCCACGGAATAGCAACAGAGGAATATTAGGACGACAAGACCGACTGCGCGGACCGACCCCTTTGGTCGCGGGCTCAGGGCTTGGCAAGGAACGTTGTAGTTATACGAAAGCTGCTTTCTCTGTTGCACGACTCTCCTCATCTGCTTTCTTGCGATGTAAGCCATGTGTAAATAGGTTATCAGCAGAATAAAACATGGCAAAACTTCGAGTATAAGTCTCACTAACATTTGTAATGTTGAAAACAGTTCGTATTGATTCATGCGCAAAGCGATGTAGTAGGGTAGAGGAATGAGTACAGCTGTTATCCAGGTAGAAATTAGAATAGCCATAGCAAAACAGCTTGTCATTATTCTCTGATATCTAAGAGGATGGACGATTGCAAAGTATCGATCAAATGTCATCGCGCAAAGATTAAGAACCGAGGCGTATAGGAAGACATCGTAGAGAACCTTAATCGACCACCAATCGCAATCCAAGAACACGCTACAGATGAACTCTGGTATCGCAACGATTAGTGTTACGCATAAGTCTGCCACTGCTAAAGACATAACGAACCAGTTTGAAGTAATTTGTAGGCGTCGTGATCTCGCGATAATGTAAATGACCAAGCCATTTCCAATCCATCCTACAACGGCAATGAAACATCTTATGGACCAGTACCACGTTGGATCTGGAGTTTTCGGCATGAACGGCGTGTTATCATCCTCTTTGGGCTCCACACTTGAGTTATTCATAATTCCTTTTTCTATTCTCTACTCATTCACTTCAGTAAAGTCACATTTCCCTATATTTTTTTCAAAGGCAGCCAAAAAAGATTGTGGAAGTAGAACGGGAAGAAAGCGAAAATCGAATGTCTACAATATTGAACAGTGTAGTTTATATCCAGTGTATTCAGACACTGTAAACTATATATTCCTGTTGACAAAACTTGAATATTCACGTATCTGAATTAAAACCAATATCAATAGTCTTGGTAAACGTATGTCATTTTTAACATAACTCACACTGCACAGCGAGACACTGGTCGGCAAAGCTGTATTTTACACTCACAAAAGTAGGGACTGAACTTCTTGGAATAACTAATTTAGGTCAACCTAAAACACTGAATACATACTTATTCTACAATGCTCACGCTGTCAGTAGTGAAGTAATTCAAATAAGCTTTTTCGTGCACCACTCGATTGTGCGACCCTTTAATTTAAAAGTTCTATTGAGTAAGAAAATAGAAGAAAAACATATGCCAAACAAAGTAGCATGATAAARGGAACGTCATATTATTTCCTTCTGAAAGTACACATTTTAATATTTTTTAATATTGTAGGGGGTTAGTTGATTGATTAACGAGTTATCTTACACCTGTTTCAAACTACATATTAGAAAAAGAAAACAATTTTAGAATATTAAAAGAAAAAGAAAATGATAAAGAATGGAAAATTCGAAAACACGAAATGTCCTTAAAATGGAGCTACCTTAAGCTCGCCACACAAAAGAACCATTAACTCGACACCCAAAATAACTCCCGTTATGAATTATAACTCCCGTGCCTCGAAACTTCAGCAAGTAAAAATCCACCCTGCAAAGAAACTACGTAACTTAGAATAATAATTCTGCTCTAAATCAAACGATTCGAAACCATATTCTGTATAGGGATAGAAACAGATGTGGATGAAGTTTAATGTAGGCGTCCAAGTATAATAAACTGTATATGGCAATCCATAGATGTAAACAACTGTGTTCCGTCGATTTGCCACTTCGCTCTCTCGCGAAGCAATTGATGGGTTGCAAGCATTCCTAAGAGAGTCAAAAGTCAAAATTAAAATGGCGGCCATTGTGGTGCTGTTAACAATGGTTGCTAAAGAGAATTCTTTTGTTGACTTGCACCAACATGGCCGCCGCGATGACGTAACTTGCAATCGAAGAATATTCGTATTCCTATATTTTTAATCGCATTTTTTGATATTTTCTGGAGTCTTTTTTTAATAGTTTTTATGCCATTTGTTTTCTAGAAAT